TTAGTCTTTTCATTGCAGACATGGGAAAGCTTATCTCTTCAGTAAGGTGTAAGTTTTCTTGTTTCTAAGGCACCTCTCAAGATTCTGGAATTGGATGGTATGTTTCTGATGATGATTGGTCTGGTTTAATTAGTGCGAATGTTTCGATTGGAGAGACAGAAGACCGATTGATGATGACTGGAAAACATACAGTGGCTGACATTTTCTGTGTCTCGTGTGGATCAATCGTTGGCTGGAGATACGTAAGCAAGACACCGAATATCGTAAAAGAACCTAATCGGAGTTTCGATTATTGTTAACTTTGGTTGTGTGTTTTTTGTTTTCTTATCTAGGAGACTGCTCATGAGAAAAGCCAAAAGTACAAAGAAGGAAAATCTGTGCTTGAAAGGTTAAAATTATATCCAACATTTCATCAAGTTTGAATATTTCTTCGGGTTTGAGCTTGAAATCGTTGTGTGACAGATTTAAGATATCGGGTCCTGATGGGAGTAACTACTGGTTGAGTAGCCATGGAAGCCATATAGCTGGAAGTGATGCAGATGATGCTTGAATCGTCCCTCTCTCTTAACATTTTCTGTAAATGTAAATTCTTCAATCTCCATTCTAATTTGTTGTTAATAAGACTAACAAGTAACAACAAGTCTTCAATCTTCTCTGGCCTTATTTGTATCTGAAAATCTTAGTAGATAAAGTCTGATTCTGTGTAATAATATGATCATCTCTTGGTTTTCTTTGAAACCATAAGAAACTGTGTAATGTAAATTCTTCTTTCATATATTGCAATAACAAATAACGTCATTTGTATAACACTAGAACGTCGTATTTATTCCGGGATGTTGAAATGGTGAATCTCACAAGCAAAATGCTCAGAAGCAAAAAAAAAAATCGTAACACTGAATTCAATTGCTCTGTTTCTGAACTTAGAAGCTCATAACTCTGAATCATTTGCTACTACTGTTTGATGAACACAAAACGCAGAAATCGAATACTCTGTTGTTTCACACATTCTTTATGAAAAGAAAACGCATGCGTTCATCAAACAGTAGTAGCAAGAGCCTTCCAAGATGATGATGATTCGGGGACATCAAGGACACGATTACACCACTCAACTTCCCCCCAAATTTCACAATCAGTGCGTCTTTCAAGAGCAATCACCGCACACCAAATCATCTTCTTAGGCGGGCCAACAGATAAATACCGGTAAAAAAAACTAGGAAACTTCTCTTCCCACAAAACGGCCAGTTTTCCACCATAATCAGCCAATCCAACACCACAAGAAGCAGACTGAGGAGTAGGGATCTTAGGTAGTCCTACCAAACCCTTCAACTCTCTCCACCTTCTCGCCTTAGTGTCATACCATTTGAAATATCCGTTATCACCATAGTACAAAACGTTCCCTATCGAGCAATAAGAATCTGAATTCAAAAAAGCGGACGCTCGTGCAACCATGCTCCATCTACCATCGTGGGAATCGTAAGCAACCAGCTCTTCGTCAGTCACTAGGTGGAACTTACCGTCAATACATGCGCTTTCGTTACTAAAATAATCGCAAGAAGGGACGGGCACATGATCCCAAGTTTGGGTTTCTGTGTCCAACACCTTCACCAACTTCTCCGAGCAACTCGTATAGTTGGAAAATGATTTGGCATAGGCTTTGGTATAGCGATTGGCGTTGGGATCGCCTTCCGAATCTGAATCCGATTCGGGATCAGAATCTGTTTTGGAATCCGAATATGCTTCGGAATCGGGATCTGAAATGGCATGGGGAATGGCG